AAGGGCCAATGGCATACCATCCGTACCCCCTTGATGTAAAGCATGTTTAGTTGTGTCATATGTATTTTCTAGAATCAAATAGGCTGATATAGCACACGGGTTTTACAGATTTATCTACTCTCAAATATATTTTTTGTAGATGATCGTTTTGAATCACCTTGTAGAAATAACGAAGGGAGAATTAGTTCAGCTAATGAATGAGTCGAGCTATTTGATTGGATACTATGCCTATTCAGCCGATTAATTTTAATAAGCCATTCTGGTCAGTAGGTCCACACATATACTATGCGGAGATCCAACTCTGTAAGTTTATAATCTGCGTATAAAGGCCCTTTTATACGTAAAAACTTAAAAATTGACCTTATAATTTCATGAGAACTTTGAAATGATCGACTCGTTCGTGTAGTGATTCACTTTAAAGGGTTTTGTTTATCGTACACTACAAGGACCCGTCAACTAGAATTTAGTTTATCGTGTTCATAATTGACACTAGCAAAGGACATTGTATTCGCAGTCCCTAGTTGATGATGAAGCTTGACTATATCGGGAATAGTTATGCCCCACTTGGTACAGATTATGAAAATCAATTTGAATTGATTTTAGTTCGACAAGACCCTTTAAACTATAAGTATACGTATAAGTTTTTGAAACAACTTATAACGAAAATTCTCTATTATCACAACACTGACATTGCTCACTTTTTAAAGTTGTTTCAAAGCGTTATATGTAAATGGGCGTGTGGAAGGCCCGTGGGTGGCAATAAAATAACTCGAACTTCAAATTAAAATATATATAAAATAGTATATTTCAAACTTCAATGTTTAAAATACAATGCTCTGTAATGTACAACATGAACTCTTACAGCAACTACTGACAAGCCAACACCCAATGCAAACTCAGCTACATGTGAGTGAGAAAGACCATATAGGGGAACAATAGATATATAAAACTGACACAGTTTGCATAGTTGAATAACTCAAGGTGAAAAGTGAACATGGTATTAAAAGAGTAAAACTGCAAACAACCTACTTAGGGACCTGTTATATTGAGATGAATAGGGATTGATTAATATGAACAGTAATAATATAAAATGTGAAAATGACCATGTTACATATACAAAAAATAACCCCATTGTTACAAAATCACAAAAAGTGAAATATCTATTCTTGTATTGCATTTTCGTTCACTGGACATATTTTAATTGCATTGCTATTAGATACATTTTAAGGGTGATATGAAAATTGAACCACGAAAACAGATGTACTTTAAGTTAAAGGGAACTTTCTACCATACCCGCCATGCTATCTGACCCGAACGAGCCACCTTGTGGTGAGATTGGTAACTACCTGCTCGCATCTGCGTTATTACGCAGAGACATAAACGTATACACAAAGAAACGATAGGAGATAACCTATTTTATCTCTGTATACATTTTAACTTTAATACATCGTTGAATCGAATTTGTCCAAAGGTCTTGAAACGTAAAATACCTAAATATTTATCTTAGACCTTGGGATGACCTTGTACAAGAAACATTAATGTTGACCTCGGTTCATCTAATCATAATTCGCCAAGGGCCATAGTATCATCAAACGCCAAATACCTAGACATTGATCGTTTACTTGGATTTAAATAAGGAGTATGATTTTAAAATTGGCTAGGTCGTGGTTAAGCAACAATAGTATGTTCGAAATACCGCTGTGTAATGCCTGGATCACATTTGCTGCGAGTATTTTGTTCAAAATTGAATACATTTCTGAACACAATACTCAATCGGCCGGGCGCCGTAGTGAAAATCGGAGCAAATGTGACCAAGACATAAAACAATTGAATAATACTGTATCAGTTTCACATTTACAGCGGTCAAAAGCATTTACAAAAAAAACGCCAGAGTTGGCAATCATATAAAATGAAACCAATCCCGCTGTGATTCATAGAAATAACTAATTTACTGCATTGAGTTCAATGTTATAACCATGTCGATTTACATGAGTGTCCGATTCATTGTACCAAATTTAAACCTTGACTGTTCTCCAGAAAGCAATAAGCTGACATATATCATATTTTACATTTTAATACAACTGAAAAGATAATAAATGTTTTAATATAAAGTTGACGTAGTTATAAATGTTTTCAGCGTAAAATCAAAGCACAACCATATAATTAAAAACATTACGCTGGGATTCCAACTGGATACAACTGACGAGTTGTATTTAGGTGGCCTAAAGTGCTGCTTATTTTTTCGTGAAGACACTCAGTAAAATTACGACTTCCCTCAACCCTGATGTTCAATCAACATCATTCGAGTATCTATATGTTCCTGACACGTTCGGGCACCCGGTTATGACAACGTCTACCCAATGTTTGCACGAGAAATTGACGTAATTCATGACTGAAATCGGGAAGACAAAAATATGTGATATTCTTTCAGAATTGTTTATAATAACTATTTACAAAAACGTTCCCGAGACACAATCCATTTAGGTAGGGTTTGTTTTAAAGTCGAAAAGCCCCAATAAGACAATACAAACCCAGATTAAACCCAGAAGAATGCAGATTTCATGTAATGATTTACGTTCATGTAAACAAGGAAAGTACATATAATCCCCACATAAAACACTGGCCTACGTGACATGTAAACACAGGTTCAAATTGAAATATAGAAAATTTTCAACATAGCATTTGCTTCTGTGTTCTGTATGCCCCTCTACCTGCTAATAAGGCAATGTATCTTCAAATAAAACCTTAGCCAAGTAGATAAGGGTCTCTGGAACACTTTTGTAAATAGTTTTCACAAGCAATTTTATTCCCGGACGCCCAAACGTGTCAGGAACACATATATATTTGAATGATCTTGATTGGACATCAGGTTGCAGAGAAATCGTATTTTTACTGTGTGGATTATTGAATTTCATAGATCTAGAGGCCCTTCAGGAGTGGAAAACCTTAAATTATCAGAGATTAATGTTTCCAAACTGTTTTGAAACAAACTAACGTCTTGTTTTCAACGTACACCTTGCTCCTTTCTGTCGTATTTAATAAAACAAAAATAGTATATCACGGAGGGATACGAATCAGTCACCTGGGACTTGGTTATTCACTAGCGCCATAGGCGTTCTACTATTCTGGATACAACTGACGAGTCGTATTTAAGTGGAGACAAAAGTGAGGATCATTTTGAATTGACGCTCGGTATAAATATATAATACTTTTGTTCTTTCATATCGGTAGCTCGTTGGTCTAATGGTTAGCGTGCCTGGCTTCCATAGTCTAGGTTAGTTGATCGAGACCCGTTCATGTCGAACTTTTTGATTTGCTTGTTGTCAAGATATAATAAGTAGGGCAAAATCCAGAAAAAGTAGATCAAAAATACTCCAATGGAGTATAAAATTGTCACCAGGATTCCGGAATGAGACGAATGTTAACTCGTGAAACCTCGGTAGATAAGGTAGGTCAGAAAATCCGGATTAATCCGAACAAGGTTCGGGAATTTCCGTCATAAGAAGTAGGTCAAAAATACTCCAATGGAGTATAAAATTGTCACCAGGATTCCGAAATACGACGAATCGAATCGGCAAACTTCGGTACAATAATGAAGTGCATAAAAATCGTGAAACAGGTGTCAGGGGCTTCCCCTCATCTTTCCATAAATGGTTCTAAAAGCCTTATATGGATCTATCACGTAACATTCAAAATGACGTTCCTATATGGTTCTATGGGCCTTATATGGATCTTTCGAACACGTGACCAAATCAAAATCAAAATCAAAATTTTACCTTGACCATTGGATGGGATTTCATAGAAAATATCAAAGAAAACATATTCTCGTGATCCTTAAATCACTTAAATTCGATCATTTTATCTTCACCCCTTGATGGAATTTTATGAAAGAAGTTATTAAAACACATCATCATGTAAGGGTTTTCACCTAAATTAGCTCGTTTTATCTTGACCCTTCAATTGAATTTCATTGAAAAATGTTTCATGAAAAATATCATGTTATGATTTGTATTTAAATAAGACCGTTTCATTTAAATACTTGCTGGATAATATTTCATAAAAAAATGCACTTTAAAAATATTTCAGGATTTGCCTTAATTTATCAATGTAATGTAAGTATTAGATTGACTCTCAAATAGGGTTCTATTTTAACTTTTTTATTGAAATTAATACTAGGCAGGACTCACTCTCTAAATAGCTAATAAAAATTCAACCCTTGGATGTGATTTCGTTGAAAAAAAAATATGACAAGTCCAGAATCAAATGATTTGTCCAGAACCTCTTAAGATCCTGTTAAAAGATGATAGTTAGTTCATAGAAATTCTTCAATGCAGGCACTGCACCCACTAACGATCTACGAGCTATCAAACGTTTGAAAAGGTTCTAAGTTCTAAGTACTTTTCCATCGCTCCGATCAAATTAATATATAAAAAGACCAATAGATACCGCAAAAGGTTTCAATTTGCAGCTTCACATCCAATGTATTTGCGTACAGTTTAATTAATGGATAAACAATGAGTCTTGGGGATTAGAAAAAATAATGTCCAAGGGGCGAAGACCCGAGGCCATTATTTTTCCTAAGACCTAAGACGAATTGTTTATCTAACTTAAACCACACAATGGGCATTGACTCTTGTCAAAGGTAAGTAGTCCATGATCCAATTTAAGAAAAATTGATTTCTCTTGTATTGACTATGAGGTAAGTGTATTGAGAAGTGAGTGGGTATAATTAGTTCAGCTTCAGTGCTCTTCATTTAACAGGGCATGTATGTTTTAAGTTTGTTTCTTTTGTGTTTACTATTCAACTATTGAAAGAGTGATGGATAGGCTATAATTAGTTAAGCTTTAGTGCACTGCATGCGCCGGTCAATCATTTTTTGTGCCACACTGGTTTTGTATAGCCAATGCCGGCCAAGTGCACATTCTTAAAAAACAATAGAAAAATAATGCACTCCTCTTTGTTGTAGCTGGGTATTCTTTAAACTAAGTTCATTCTATTGTGTTGCTACCTAAGTGTGGTTTAAACCAGAGTATACCGATGGAATAAACCATTAGTTCCTCCCACGTTACTGATAATGAAGAGCTGCATTATTTACTGACACATCCACCGTATGAGTCAAGTACCCATGGTACTATTTCTTGAATAACCTAAATCAATGAAAGATTTACACGACAAGGGTTTTGCAAATCAAATCTTGACTAGTTATAAAATAGTCAATTACTTCATATCAAATTGTTCATAATCCATCATTAAGTACGTTACTTATACGGATGATGAAGAGCAACCGCTCAACGGAGCTCGACGTATATAAGTATTGGACTATTGGAAGAAGCCGGGGAGCTGAGTACTAGTTGCATTCCAATTGTAATACTCTCAAAGGAGTACACGTCTTTTCTCTTAACTTACATTACTGTCAAACAAAATTACTTGATATCGGCATTTTGTTTAGGTTATTGAAATTCCCAATGGCTCCCGGCGAGACGAACTACAGCATATACGATACTAGTATATGCGCTCATCGTTAGTGTTCAATTCAAGTTCAGCGGCGTTGTAACATCGTCCTGGAATTCTGGCGCAGTATCAAAAGAAATCCTCCTGCCTGGCAAGATATTTTTCATCTTCACTGTTTGTTCTCAGGTATAACGAGTCAATATGTTAGGCTCTTGTCAGTATCTAAAGGTAAAGAGTATTTCTGATAAACACCAGCGAGAGCAGTATTGGTCTATTAGTGGAATAATTAACGGCTGTATATCAAAAGAATAAAACGGGAAATAACTGGGAAGAAGGCAGAGAGCAGAAGCATTCTATGCATTCATGTACAATCACCCCTGGCAGTTCCCATGAAAATAAGCATTCCTTCAAAGCATTCAACAGAAAGGAAATGGATTTATTATGGACTTTATTATATAGATATGGTGACGGCAATATGTAATTATATATAATGAGCGTCCAGCCATTCTCCGCAGATTACCAAGCAGTATCAGAAAGTGAAGCTGCGATGTCACCCGGGGCCATGACAACATCATCAAACATAGTACGACACGTAACGAGTGCGAACTCTCAAACAAGCCCAAATGCAACTTCATCCCTTATCAATAGAGGGAATGGACATAAGAGTCACGGTTCAACGAGTACCTCGAGTAAATTCAAAAGTGCGGCCCAAGCTGCGATCTCTGTTTTCGCCGTCAGGTCAAGGCTATCTAAAGGCAGCGGAAAGAAGAAAGAACATAACCCAAGTGAAGCTTGTCTGCAGGTAAATGATGGATTCGAACCGAAACCATTAGTTGTTGTTAAAGGAGTGGTATCGATATGGTGAACTTTTTGAACACGCGTTTCTCTTAAACCAGTCATCAAAACATTTAGAAAATTTTACGCATCGTCAATTTAATGGTCATCTTTTGGATGGTAACGGTATAATTTGAAATATTATATCCTTTTCTCAACATTGTTTTAGAAAACACATCAGACACTATCCGAACCTCATTGGAACAAAACGACATAAACAAAATGTGTTTAGGTTTCTCAATATTGTAATTGTACAAAGGAATTAAAGTTGATTTAAAAAAAGTATCTTGTTAATGAAATAAAAGGTTTTATCTTGATTTTTATCTATTTTTGGGGTTTTTATTTTAAGTTTTTGCATACTTTTTGTAAAATCAACCAAAATTTCTTTGTATAACTGTACTATTGAGAGATCTAAGAAAATGTTGTATATTATGCTATTTTGTTCCAACAAGGTTCGGAAAGACATTTTATTTCATTCTCAAGAATTGGTAGAAAGGAACAAAAAACAATTGCACAAAAAATGTTAGCAAAAACAGTTATATAAAATATATATAAACAATTTTTGCATTAAATTGTTGCATGCCAATCAGTCAACATTACATAAAGGACCGTGTTTTTTTACAGAATGTTTTCACTGATTGGTTTAAGAGAAAAACATTGTTGAATTCAGTTTACCATATCGATACCTATCCTTTAGGAATGGATCGATCGATCTTGAGAGGGTTGAGCTTACTGGTAATATAATTTTAAACATTTTTAAAAGAATATGTAAAACTTGTGCTAGTTAAGTATGATATGTAATCTCTCTAAAATTTGTCTAATTTTGTCACGTGTTGCATTTTGTTACCCCTGAACCCTGAGTTCTTGAATATTTGTAAAATCTTATCTTTATGCCATGGATAGTTGTATATAAAAGAAGTGCAAATATCTTCATGATCATTCATGAATTGACTTCCCTGGGTATTACTAAGCGCTAACCGTGGCATTAACGTCCACTTCGCGATGATTTAGCCTAGTATCAATTCCAGCAGTCTTGGCTGAATATGTGCTTTGTGATTATTGGAGTTAATAAGTATTGTTCATTAAGTCCAGCGATCTAAGGATTGAGAACGATTTTTATAATAAAGGTCCGTTGTGAGAAACTGGTACTATCGAAAATAAATGATGTCTTAAAGCAAATAGAAATGTAATCTTTATTGCACCGCTTTGAAAGAAACAAGCGCGTAATTGGTACAAGAATCAATGTTGATTCACTCGGCGTATTGATCTATTTGAAAAAAATCATGTATTGTTTTAAACTCGATATATTAATTCCCATTCTAGAGAATTAACTAGACACCTAGATATCGGATAATGTATCTGTCCAAAATCAAGTACAACTTCGTTGTTTGATTCCAACCCAATTTTAAGATTGGTAATTTTAAGATTGGAGATCCATTTCGAAATTGAAAAATAATTTGCTGATTAGAGAAAAGGAGATGCTGATGGTTGTCCAAATGCTCGGGAGATCATTGTTTAATGTTTAGAAGTTATAGATTTCTGAGGGAACGTAATGGTCGACGCAGAATTGCTTCTGTTGTTGTCTTATCGATGGAACTTCCATTATTCAATTCTAATTATCACATATAATTTTCTTTACTATAGCCATTGGGAAGTCGAACACAATCGTCCAATTGAGGAATCAAATTGAATTGCTTTGAGAAAACCCAATTCACGATTCACAAATCAAATTTTTATCGATATCGTTTGATTAGTTTGATTCAGCTTCCAAATTCTAGTTCTGAGTAACACCAATGTATGCAATCAAATGAAATCATAAATACGTCAAGTTCAAGGAATAACTGATATACCCCAGTGCCTTCATTTACATATATAATATAATATACCGACACGAGGTATTCGGGAATCAAAATCATAAGGCAATAGTATAGCTGTTTATCATCCAAATCGGTTGCAATGCAGCATACATAATTAGGAAAGAAATTTAACAAAGATGAACAATACGTCCAATTGGCCCACGAACTTATCACCTCGTGAAAAACACGTGACATCTTATTAAATGGTGGAGTTATTGAACATCTGTAAGAGCAAAAAAGTGTTAATTCTTCCAATTGATAGATAAATTCAGCATTTTTAGTTATTTTTAGAGAATTTGGTAAAATGTGTACGCCATAATGAAAAGGTATTCATTTGACCTAATTTCACCTATTATTGCTTATTTAAACATGTGTGTTGGCGCGAAAGGTCATTGTATTGAATGTCAATCTGCAGCATTGAGAAATCTTTGAGTAAACCTGGGCTAATGTCTAACTTACTTTAATTTACTTTTAATTATTTAAATTTTTTATTCCTAGCTCACAAATGAACTGAATCAACAAATGGCCAGTCTTTGGATAATGATGACGTCATACAATTTTCCATTCTCGGAAGAATATGCCGAGGATGTAAAGTGGGGCTGCTACAAATGTACAGAAATTTGCAGGCGTATAAGACCTCTCATCCTCGATACAGTGCGCAGGTTAGTGTCATCTTGGAATTAAATAAAGTATTAAATATTGTTCTGTGAGTGTGATATAAGTTTCCTCACCCGTTAGAGTGCCAGGTTTGTGTCATGTAAAACCCCTTTCCATCGCCTCATCATCTAGCCTACGTGCAGAGTTAAGTTATAAACTGAAGAAGCTCTCTTTTAAGAAGCGAAGTCAAGAACAAATGAACAGGACACTCATATAACTATGAGGGATGTTGTATTCCTATTTAAGTATTTCCTTGAATTTGAAAAGGAGAAGTGTGATAACTCGTATCAATGATCCTTCAGTTTGGGCTGATCTAAAAGTGGGACGCGTTCTGAAATCCGTTATTCTGAAGTCACCCTTGGTATACGCAGCTAACGAAAATTGACCGGTACGGGTCAAAAGCTGGACCGGTACGGGTTAACGGTTTTTTAAAATTTAAAATAGCCATAACTTGCTCAATATTGGCTTCCTCGTGTCTTATTTGAAATATATGATGCCTCTCCATGCTTTTAAGTACCCCAATTTTTTACAGATTTTTAAACGGACCAAAACTCTCTAAATGCGCATTTATGCTCTTTTCTCTCGAGAAGTCTCATTTTCACGATAACTTTTATTTAGTACTTTTAACATATAAGATCTATTTTTCCCCATCAAGGTATGATGTAAATGACATGCTATTTACATCTTGTGAGTTTCAATGACGCGCGTTTGATTTTATAAAAAATGCCAAACTTTGTGACAAACCCGTACCGTACCGGTCCAGCTTTTGACCCGTACCGGTCAATTTTCGTTAGCTGCGTATACCAAGGGTGGAAGTGGTCTAGCTTAAAGATATTTATCCAACATGTTAATTCGTGACTTCCCCTCACCTTATGTCTATGAGCCCCAAGCCCCCAATGTGTTTTGCACATTTTGCGCACACGCACTTGGTTCATCCATTTCGATTATCAAACCATCGAGACACTACCTCCTTACTTATACTCTAAACAGAGAGGTAAAACATCTTGTCAGGTTCAAGTAGGCAATCGTTTCCAATCGTGTTGGTCCATACTGACAGTCTAAATCTGTTTTTCCCTCTCAATTCAAAACATCGCAACCTCAACTCCTTTTACGAAGGAATGTTTTGTCACGTTTTACACCTATGTATCTCAGTGATGATTGCATTTTCCTCTCGCCGATGAATCAATCGAAAACGCTATCAGCAACATTAATGGTGTAAGAACGCAAGTACAACGCAAAAACAAATGAATCATCTAACAACCGACAAAACCAAAAATTGAAATCAAGGAGGGGGAATTAAGCTCTTTGTCCTCATCATAACCAGATTACACTAGAAACTACGTCGCTTTGCTAAGTATCAGGTTTATCAATACTTAATCCATCATAAAGGTGTTTCTCGAAGGGGTTGCGTATACACGAACCTTTCTGCATTTCTAGATATCAGCAATCCAGCCAGGACAGTATCGAATAGCATTACTACGAACAATTGATCATAAAACCAACCAACGAATGGACGAACGAAATACACATACGAAGAGTAATTGGAAATTACATTTGATTAAAACAAATGAACAGTGCTGTGCCCAGGTTTTGTCAAGGGGTGTCTACAAAGTCTAATATTTTCCGCGGGATTTTTTTCGGAGCCTTCTAACGCAAAATATGGTCTTTTTGATTATACTCAACCAAATATGCTATATATACTTTGCTAAACTTTTGCCGTTGCAAAAATGTTGCCTATTTTGTCCAATTTGATTAGGCCTAATTTTTGCTGATTTGCTGAAATTAGAAATTTTGACAAAGGACCAGGTATGATAAGGCAAATGATCATTTAAAGCCACGTTGACGTAATTATAGCATCCCAGATTCACACAAGTGATTCTGCCATAAGTTCAACTCTAGCAGAACTAAATCTATATTTTCACTTTGCTACTAAGGAAATTGAATAAACTTTTTATTAGACAATTTTTCTCTGTATTGGATGAAACCCAAAATGTTAAGTTTTAATTTTTGCAAATATTTTAATGAATTTTACATCTTGTTCGTTACGTCTTCATTCATTTGTTATCTGGTAGTGGCTTACTTCCTGCGAAAGCTATTTGGATTTTGATATAATAGCTTTCCCACGGAGCATTTGGACAGCTCAATGTTCGTGACCTTTGAAATCGAATTAAGTCGATCCGCGGCTTACTTTTGGTCTCTAACTGTGTCTTACATCAGTATCATCAATCCTTGTAAGTATTGGAGCGCTGGAGTACTTCTTTTCGATCAAGACTTGTAATTGTTAGTCGAGTGAATCGTTTTACTGCCAAATTCCAATATGGCGGTTTCTGCTCGGACATTTTCGTAAATCTCCGGAGGTTGTCCGAACCTAACTAATTCTCAAAATTCATTTCGTTCGTTGCGTATCTCGCACCTAGCAAACCGCCATATTGGAAATAGGTCTGTAAAACTTTAACTCGATGAACAATTTACAAGTCTTGATCGAAAAAGAAGTACTCCAGCGCTCCAATACTTACACGGATTGATGATACTGATGTAAGACACAGTTAGAGACCAAAAGTAAGCCGCGGATCGACTTAATTCGATTTCAAAGGTCACTATTGATCAGCTGTTCACTTCTCCGTTTGAGAGTCATAAGTTTCAAAATCTAACATGGCTCTCGAAGTGAGTAAGTAGTGGCCGTCACCTTACGTGATCATTAGGTTGGAATGTTGTTAAATCGATTTCTTCTCCAGGTTATCGTGACTTCCAAGTATTGGAGCAAGTGTAATGCTGCACCCACTTGAGGTTTTGGTTAAAGGGATTGCACCCACTTGAAAACCCATTTGCACCCAGCTGAATACTAGAAAACCGTGAAAAGTTGGCAAAAATTATAATTTTACTCCCACTTCATAACCTTGCTTTGATACCTGACTTGCAATGATCATGATCAATTCTGTATGTCTTTGTAAAATAGTCTTGCTTCAAGACCCTGGACACCCTTATCAACTTGACATAAGACATGTTATTAAAGTAGATAAGGGGCGGGGCGTGGGGTGGGGCGTGGGTTTTGAAGCACGGTAATTGTAAAACTATAGTTCTCCCCCTCCCTCAGTCACAATTGCAACATACAAACCCCCGCAAACGGCAATGGAGATTAGATGCTTGCATATGGGACCGTCAAATTGCAGAGGCCCAACTTGAGACATCCATTAGACATTTGGTATCTCGAAACGATTCCTCGATGTGTCGTCTTCTCTATAAGTCAATTGTTATGTACACATTATATTACCATCGAGAATTTTTCCACTCTTTACTGTCAGTTTGGCTGACCTGCAGAATTATGTATGAGGAAACGTCTTAGCATAAATGTAGCACCCGGGGGACGGCGGAGTGTTTGAAGAATCGAACGTGAATAATACTCGCTTTCCGCAAGTTTTTCCAGGAAAACAAGTCTCTATACATTAGGAAGTTCGTTTTTCATTAATCGACCTTAAGTCAAAAATGGATCAACTGTCATTTTGTAATGTATAAAGGAAAGACTATTAGGATATGATTTTGGCAATTTTTGGCATCAGCCAGGGAATGGTCCAATAAGTAAAAAAGAAATCCATCGTCTATACCATTTCTTATACCTTTGTCTTATACCGTTTCACACCGGAATAGGCCAGGGGTCCCATTGCCGTCAGGCGCAGAAATCAAAAACGCACAAATAAACATCTACTACAATGCTAAGTTCATGGTCAAACTGGTGTTTATCCATTATAAAAAAGTTGTACAGTAGATTGAGTCAGTAAACTTAAATGTAATCATATTAATCGGGCTCGTGATTGAAAAATCAAACTGGGAAACGAGTATGAGATGTACGTTAGAGCAACTACCTTTCACGGAACCAAAATAACCAAGAAAAAGATGCTTTGCTGTAGCTAGTATAATCAATCATATACTCTTTGGCAAAGCAACTTAAGATGATAAAGCAAATTGGAGTAGCAGGTTCCATTCCCCAATGAAATAATACTCAAAATTGAGTCACAATGATCAGGAATGATTCAACTCATCACCATGGACTTGACGAGATTAACCTGCCTAGGAGGATCGTGCTTCTCCAACGTTCGATCACGTACATTTATATCATTATTCAATGTTTCATAAGGGGTTTCCAGTATCACCGTTGCATAAGCTATATAGTAATATACAACAGACAGAACATATTTCACTATCATGAACGTTTATTCTTTATGATTACATATTGTGTAATATGACAGTCTGTCAAAGCAATTTATTTCTATATTACTTCGGGATTTACTTGCCATTACATTCAAAAGAAATCGGCAATAATATTAACAACCTTCCCAAATGTATATTCCGGTTGTATCTGCTTGGAGGATATTAAGTGACTTTTGGAAGTCGAGGGTTTTATAATCCACTTAGATTCCGAGATCATCATAATCCTCCTACAAAATAGATATTACTCATATGAATTGTAGGTCTTTTCAGTAGTTTCAGTTGTCTCGAACTATTGTATTGAGTGCCAAACGATGAAAATTGGATCAAAATCATTGTGATCGTTTTTAAACCCATTAGACGGACGGACGAATTCGGCCTGTATCTCTGGAACTATATATTTGCTCGTTTCACTCAAAATCACCAGTGTCGGGATAGCTCTATCTTATTTACCCTTTCATGTTTCCCCATCCCAGTGGTATGGTATAATCCAGGGACAAAATGTTTCTTTTAAGTCTAATTTGCTTAGCTAGGCACACAGCAGATGTGGCATTTTCATTAAAATACCGCGCGATCACTACAGATTCAAAAGTAGATCTGACCAGCGATCAATTGATGATCAAATAAAGTCAATCTACAAGTGAAGTATAAAGGAAGAAGGCGGCTGCCAGTAAATCTGCCAGAATGAGACAGACATAGTATCAATCAATACAATTACAGGTACAAGAACATGTTTGATGTTTAATTTCTTCGAGAAGTTGCAGATCGAAGGAAGCTGATGTGCTTACTCAATGGCCACTTG